ATGGCAATGATGGAGAAGAGGTCAACATGGAAGCTTACGAGCGTGATGAGATACGTTTAACTGAGTTGGGTAGACGAACTGTGGAGATATTTGTTCTTGACCATATCTTTAGGTAATAATGCATAATTTGTTTCTATACTTGTAGTGATTGTGTTGTTCCTTGATGTGCTAATTATGTATTGTACTTCAATATATCTGAGAACTGCAGCAGCAAAATTGAGGTTGCATATCAAGAAGCTATTGTGCTAAAAAGGCAGGAAGAACTTATTCGTGAGGAAGAGGAAGAAGCGTCGAAACGGAGCAAAGGGCTAAAAAAAGGTTTTGGGAAATGTAGACTGAATTAAGTTCGAAATGTTTTCTGTTTTGCGTAATTTTGTTTCGGTTTTCGGTACTTGAGAAATCTAGACCATATGTTGAACCGAAATAGTCTGGTTTGGTTAATTTTTTGCAGAAATTTGGTTTTGTTTTGGTTAACAAAGTAGCCCTCGAGAAGACCTTTAAAATTAAAACTTGAAATATTTCATATATATTCAAAAACAGAGTTTCTTAAAGAGAGAAGATGGGGAATTACAAGTTCAGAATTCAACGTGGACCTTCTTAACATTTCCATTCAAGAAACCCATGAATGGTTTTGTTTTTAGTAGAGAAACCATTTTGGTTTGATATTACCAAAATATGGGTCTGAATTAATATTTGTGTAGAGAAACCATTTTGGTTTGATATTACCAAAATTAGGAACACAAACATTATACTGTAGAATCAATTGTTGTTTTTGTTTTTGTTTTGTTTTGAATTACTAAGAGATTGTGGATCTAGCCATGAATCAGAACATTTATATGGTCACATCCTAAATACTCGAATCTTTGATCTCTAATATCAATTGTTATTGTGTTTTGGGTTTGGTTTGATATACCAAAATATTGGTCTGAAACAATTGTTCTTGTGTTTTTAAACTATTATACTATCGTATCGTTTGTAATTTTGTCATATAAGTAGTCTAAATTTTTTTAATTTGTCATATAAGTAGTCTAAATTTTTTTATAAACTGTTTTAATTTCTGAATATGAATCATTTTTATTTTAATAGTCAATAAACAATTAAAATACGAAAGTTGAGGTTATCAATCATATATTTGAATTTATCTATATATCTTCTGTATAAGTGAATTCATTTTGTATAATATGTGTCTACATATTTTTGGAGCATGTATTTTAAAATTTAATTTGGACTATGAAATGATGGTGCACATTAAGATTTGTGGTTAGTGGTTGGTAAGTTGGTGGTACCGACACCTTCTTTAGCATGTGTTTTTTTCATTAAATGATCGACAAAAATACCACACATGTTTAAAAAAAATTTACTCCATATAATGATTTTTGCAATTAGGTACTATATTGCACATAATTTTTTTGAGTTTGAATTTCAATGCTATTAGAAATTTAGCATTTTAGACTCATCAAAAATTTTCATATACTTCACTTTAACTGAGTTTTAAAGATTTTGCACACAAATTAAAATATAATATTATAGATATTATAATTATATATATAATCGTAACCATAGAATAATCACCAGGGCCGGTTATTGGCATGTGCAAGTGGTGCATTTGCACCGGGTCCAACAAATTTAAGGTCCAAATTCATAGTTTTTCTATTATTTAATTATTTAATTATGCTGAAATTTTATAAAATATCTATATGTAAAGGTCCCAAAATTTTATTTTAAAAGGTAATATTGAGGCCCAAAATTAATAAACAAAAATAACATGTCCAAATAGCTATAAAATACAAAATAATTTATGAAATATAACTTTTTGTAAATATATATATATATAAATTTTTTATTAAAGATAGGATTTTTTTTTGTATGGCACCGGGTCTTACCGATGAGTGAGCCGGGCCTGATAATCACGTTGATAACGTGTTACAATTATAGTATAATTTATCATATAACCAATGATACTCGAATCGTAAAGAGATGATAGACCTTTGTACAGTATTACTTCTCATTGTAAATATAGATGTCAATTGTACAAAATAAAGGATGATTGAAACGTTGTTTATACAAAATATAAAAATAAAATAATTATCTTCAATAATTGACAAAGACGCGACTCTTTTTTTTCTGACGTTTGCAACACCAGTGATTAAATGTTCAACATATGACATATACCTAATCTCTTACATGTATTATAGATAGCAAACGAGTTCTTGTATAAATTACTCACTCATACAAAAATCCATTATTTTTGTTGACTAAAAAAAACAACTCCTTTTTGTGTTGAATAATGGCTTTGATCATAGGCTTACTTGAAATCTTCATAACCTTCATTTTCTTCCTTGCCTACCAGTGTTTCTCGCTCCACAAGAAAACTCCAAAGCATATGGTTACGAACTGGCCGGTCCTTGGGATGCTTCCGGGTGTGGTCCTCCACATCTCTCGTGTCTATGACTTGGTCACTGAGGCTCTTGAAGGAGAAAATATGACGGGTTGTTTCATAGGGCCATGGCTTAGTGGAACAAACATATTACTCACTGCTGACCCGGTGAATATCCAGTACATTCTAAGTTCAAACTTCGTTAATTACCCTAAAGGGAAGAAGTTTAACAAGATCTTTGAATTCTTGGGAGATGGGATTTTCAACGTTGACTCGGGTTTGTGGGAGGATATGAGAAACTCGTCTCATGCGATTTTTAGCCATCAAGATTTCCAAAGTTTTTCGGTGAGCACAAGCGTAAGCAAATTAAGGCAAGGGCTTGTTCCTATTCTTGATAACGCTGTTGAGAAACACATTCTTGTCGACTTGCAAGATTTGTTCCATAGATTTTTGTTTGACACATCTTCGACTTTGATGACTGGGTATGATCCAAAATCTCTCTCCATTGAAATGCCTAAGGTTGAGTTCGCTGATGCGATGGATGGAGTTGCAGATGCGATGTTCTATAGACATCTCAAGCCGGCTTTCCTGTGGGAGCTCCAATCTTGGATCGGTGTAGGAGTAGAGAAGAAGATGAGAAGAGGTCTCGCGGTTTTCGATCAAATGCTAGGGAAGATCATATCGGCTAAACGAGAGGAGATCAAAAGTCATGGGATTCATGACTCGAAAGGAGAGGAGGCCATGGACGTTTTAACATATTACATGACTATAGACACGACCAAATATAAACACTTGAAACCGAGTAACGATAAATTCATCAGAGACACTATTTTGGGTTTTTTAATAGCGGCAAGAGACACAACAAGCTCAGCTCTCACTTGGTTATTCTGGCTTCTCTCTAAGAACCCTGAAGCAATGACCAAGATCCGACAAGAGATTAACAATAAGATGCCAAAGTTTAATCCCGCAGATTTAGACAAGCTCGTGTATCTAGATGGTGCCGTGTGTGAAACGCTAAGGCTATACCCATCAGTCCCATTTAACCACAAGTCACCGGCAAAGCCAGATGTTCTTCCAAGTGGGCATAGAGTCGATGAGAATTGGAGGGTAGTAATCCCTATTTTTGCAGTGGGGAGGATGAAATCTGTTTGGGGAGATGACGCAGAAGATTTTCGACCAGAGAGATGGATTTCAGACAGTGGAATGTTGAGACAAGAATCTTCATATAAGTTTTTGGCGTTTAACGCTGGTCCAAGAACTTGCTTGGGGAAAAGGTTAACATTCTTGCAGGTGAAGACAGTAGCGGTCGAAATCATAAGAAACTATGACATTAAGGTCGTTGAAGGGCACAACCCCAAACCAGTTCCTTCCGTTCTTCTTCGCATGCAACATGGTCTCAAAGTTAGTGTCACTAAGATTTAGTGAACTTTTATTTTTGTTTTATGTTAAATAAAATACTCCAGTTATGCAAGGAGATTAATGGGTAAAGATTAAGAACCTCATGATAATAAAATAAATAAAAAAACTAATGTAGTAAGTACTAAGTACTAAGTACTAGTTGACATCAAAAAAGAAATAAGTACTAGCTAGTTGTCAAGATTTCAATGAATTACACATTTTTAGATTTATTTTGCATACACGTCTTGTATATGATTCATTTTCTTTTTTGGTGTTAATCTTAATTTCTATTTCTCTTCATAACTGAACACCCTTTTTACTACAAATCCTACTGAATGGAAATACAAGATCTGAAATACAACACTCATCACTACCTCTTTCCAACAATTCCTTTTGGACAGTCCAAGTCCAAGACAGTTAGCGATTAGGTTCAAACGGCCCAATAACCTATTGCTTGAACACATGGGCTTTAAGCCAAGTTACCCAAAGTCATGAGTTGCAAATATTCAACCAGATCATTTTCAACTTTAAAACCGTCGCAAATTTCTAAAGAGATCTCAAGGCTGATTTGACAAATTTCTGGGCATGCCACTTCTAACCCCAAGGCTGATCCAACTTTTTTTTTTTTTTTTTCACAGAAATGAAACGCATAGCCCATAATTGGATCAGCCTTGACCTGTCAAAATGATGAAAAAAATATATCATAATTAATGATGATGTGAAAAGAAGTAGTTCAGAATTTAGCTTATCAGAACCATCACTAAACTCGTGAAATTGTATTATCCAAAATCAGCGTAGAAACAATATACACCTAATAGTGATGTAAGTTAGTTACGTCGGTTGTATTTCTTGGTTTTCTTGAATCAACAAATTATTTTCCATAATGAGCATTTCAATGTTACTTTTTAACTAAAATAACTAACTTTAGCCACAAAAACAACTCATTCGTCATCTTTAATTGTCATTTAATGGATTCTAACAATGAAATATCATTCAAAATATTTTGGTTTCTTAATTGTAGAACTTTTTAGTTTTTAGGGTCCCAAAACAAACAACAGGAACTATAAAACCAAATGTGTGAAACAGTGAAAGTACTCTGTCGTCGATCGAGAACTTTAACAATAGAGACAACACCTAAACAAGTCCCAATAGAAACTCATAATATGAAATCCAATGAAAATTTCTAAGATCTTTGAAGGGAAAGATCATGTTACGTAGGAACTTCTTAATCCAAAACCAATAATTTATTAACCAAAGTCCTTTTCACACAAACAAGGAATTATATCATAATACATCAAAGACATCAAACAAAACACACACAAACATTCAAAAGTAAAACTTAAATCTCAGTTCTCATATTCTTAAAGCTCCTTATGCAGCGGAACAACGGTTGAGCCAAGTGATTGTGGAGACTCTTCAACGGAATGTGGCGATTTTGGCTTCACCTCCTCCGTCGCACCACCACCAAACCAGCCGGATGTTTTTGGAGCCTCTTCAACAGAATGTGGCGATTTTGGCTTCACCTCCTCCGTCGCAGCACCACCGAACCATCCTTTAATCCTCCCAACCATTCCTCCTCCTCCGTTCACTTCCTCATCCACCGCCTCACCTTGTTCTCCCTCCTCCGACGCCTTCTCGGTAGGGATCTTCTCCACTTCCTTTGTCGTCGTTGTCTTCTTCTCTTCTCCTCCTCCAATCTGAAGTTTCTCAGCATTCATCTCAGAAAAAGCTTTGTCTTCTTCGTCAGGCGTCAGTTTTTCCGCCGGATAATCTCTACCCGACACATTTTTATCTTCCCCTCGTTGCTCCTCCGCTCCACTTCCACCTCCAGAGAGAGGTAACTTCGTCGTCAAGGCAGACTCTGTTTCTTGATCCTCCTCATTGACAGGTGTCAACTTCTCATCAACAGTTCCCGTCACTTCACTTTGATCTCCCGCCGGAATCTCTCCGGAGTAACCTAGCATTGAAGCAAACTTCTCTGTGTAAGTGCTCGTTTTTGGCTCCTCTGTTTTCTCATCTCTCGTCTCCTCAAAATCATCTCTGGACTCCTTAAACTCATCTTTCTCTTTAGGACGAGATAGTTCCGGTGAGAATTGATCATGAGTCTCATCATCACTTTTCGCCGGAAAGTCATTCTCTTCCGATGCGTCGCCGTATCCAGGTCTTCCCTTCGCCAGAAAATCTGGTTCTCCGTCAAATCCCGTCGGCGAATCTTTCTCAATACCAGATTCATTCTTCAGATCCAACTCATGACTTCTCACTGGAAAATTTCCTCCCAACGGAGCTCCTAATCCGCCGTCAGATTCCGGCGAATACTCGTTTCTTCCAGATTCAATCTTCTGATCAAATTCATCACTTCCCGTCGGCAATTCTCTCCCCAGCTCAGCTCCTGTTTCACTACCAAATCCCATCGGAGAATTCTTGTCGTTTCCAGATTCTGTTTTCAGATCAAATTCATAGCTTCTTGATGGAGAATTCGTGTCCGTCCCAGCTTCAGTCTTCATATCAAAATCATGGCTTCTCGTCGTAAAATCTTTTTCTAGCTCAACTCCTGATTCGCCACCGAAGCCCGTCGGAGAATTCTTGTTGATTCCAGAATCTGTATGGCTTCTCATCGGAAAATCTTTTTCTAGCTCAGCTTCTGATTCGCCACCAAAGCCCGTCGGAGAATTCTTGTCGATTCCAGAATCTGTATGGCTTCTCATCGGAAAATCTTTTTCTAGCTCAGCTTCTGATTCGCCACCAAAGCCCGTCGGAGAATTCTTGTCGATTCCAGATTCTGTATGGCTTCTCATCGGAAAATCTTTTTCTAGCTCAGCTTCTGATTCACCTGCAAATTTCACCGGCGAATCCTTACCGAGAACAGAGTCGAAGTCCTGATCAAATTCTTTGAATTCTTTGCTTCTCGTCGACAAGTCTCTTTCAAATCCTTGTGGTGGTTTCTGATCAGGAGACTCATCAGTCACTTTCATATTACCAAGAGACTCAGTAATCTCCGGTACTCTAGCTTCTCCACTTCCTATATCAAACACAACAGAACAGAACAGAGTTACTACATATTCATAAACCCTAAAAAAACAGAACCTTAAATGCTCAAAGTTCTTACCTTCTTTGGTGGGATCAGTAACTTTGGACTGATGATTAGATGCACCACTAAGATAATCAGACCCTCCTCCTGTAACAGCCGGATCTTCCTCCAACTTGATCGGTGTCTCGACGTTGACTTTCCGTTGACCATCAAGATAATCATCTTCACCAGCAGGAGCAAACGTCCTCGTGATATCCTCTGTTGCAGAAAGCAGAGGAGTGTCCATTGCCTCGTGATGAGCCTCTCTGCTCTCTTCCTTGTCCGATGTAACCGACGTTCTTACAGAATGAGCCGGTGCATCGTGTCCGTAAGAGGTATCCTGTGATGGTACAGATTCAGTGGGTTTGGTGTAATCGGAAGACGCGACAGGAAACACCTTTTTCCCTGGAGGAACAATCTCCTCCGCTGCCGGAACTTTAGTTTCTCTCGGATGACTCAGAGACTCTGGTTTACCTTTTACACCTGCATATACAATTACAAAACCGTTAATCTCACACAAAGTTAAATAACCACTAGTTTTAGATCATAAATTGAAGGAAACTATAAAAGAAAGTAACCTGGTGTATCGATCACTTCTGGTTCTAGCTCGTCATCTTCATCATCTTCTTTAACTACATCATGATCATGCTCATTGCTTTGATCATGTTTAGTAATATTGTTCTTGAACTTCTTAGCTCTTGCCTTTACTTTCCTAAACATCTTAGACGCACCATTCTCATGATGTTGAACTTCTTCTGTATCCACAAATCACAATAAAATTTGGTAAATTAAGTGGAATGTCACATAAAAAGAAACAAACCAAAGTTTCTAAAACTAGAATCTACTTAACTACAAGGAATATGATATATTACCTGGTTGCTGCTGGTGTGTGTTGAGTGGTGGTTCCGCGGTTTGATCCATCTGCCAAAGATTTTTTTCTTTCCAAGGGAAGTAATAAAATTCTTTATTCCTGAAGATTGTTTTCTAGTTTGCATATTTGTGAGTAAAACAGAGGAGGGTTTCACTAAAGTTTATAGAGAGACTGGGAGAGATAAAATGTACACGTATGAAGCGTCTGTTTTCGTGGTGTGACGTCAAAAGTCATTTTGCTCTCTACACGTGTCTATGTCGGCTTGATCTTTTTTTTTTGTTTTTTTGGAACTGATGTCGGTATGATCTTTTTTTCTTTTTTCTTATTCTTTAAAGTTTTAAAACTGATGTCGGTATGATCTTTAAGAGAAGTTTCCTATGTAACTTTCTATTAATGGTAGTCGGTCTATGTCTATTGGCCCATCATGCATGTGGTCATTTTACGTTTACATTGTGTGGCTGTTTATTGTACAACCTTTTTTTAGTAATCGGAAGTCATTCAGATTTTTAGACTAATCTCTGCCGTGTAAAATATACAGTCGACTAGGCCTGGACGTTTGGGTATTCGGTTCGGTTCCAAGTATTTTGGTTCTGAGATTTAGGAACTATATTGGAACCAAATCAATATCGGTTCGGTTCTGGTTCGGTTCCTATTCGGTTCGGGTAATACATTTTGGAACCGAATAGGAACCAAACTGTTTCGGATATTTTTGAAATCGAAAAAACAATAGAATTATAATGCAAAATTCAAATGCAATTATGCAAGTATGCAATGCAACATCACATATTAGTCATCATACCATTACAGATTCAAAAATAGTTGAAACTTGGAAAGTATTAAGTCAAAAGACACCCAAAGTTTCAAAATACCACAAAACACAAGTTTTAAAGACACCAAAAGAAGCTTTGTCTTTGATTTGCAATGATTCGAAAAAGAGAGTTGTTGTCTGCGGCGTCTCCTTCTTTGAGAAAGAGAGAACAAACTAGGGCTTCTCTTTAGGTTTCAGAGAAATATATAAGAGGCTAAGAGAGATATATGGTTGGTTGTTAGGCTTGGGTAGCTAGGTTTATGTCTAGATGGATTTGAGACTTTGGGTTATATAAATATAGGTTAATGTGCTATATTTTTTGGGTACCCGAATGGATATCGGTTCTTACCCGAACCGAACCGATACCCATGGTTCTTTGATTTAAGATCCAATCGATATTTTCACTAGAACCAGAACCGAACCGTACCCATCAATTTCGGTTCGGTTCGGTTCTACGTGGATCCATATTTGTGCCCAGGCCTACAGTCGACTATTCCATTCACCAAATTTTTTAATAAACTTAGAACATAGCATCATTTTGACAAACCAAATAATATAATGAGTGAATTTGGGCAGAAGTAAAAATGGGAACACAAATTAGGGGAAGGGTATTATCAGAAGCTGTCGGCAAAGAGGTATTATCAAAAGTTAGAAAAGGGTCACTTTTAGAAGTTATTTACAAAATAACCAGGAAGCGTAAAACGTATGCGCGTGGGTTTGGCTTCTGACATAAAAGTACAATTGAAATGACATATATTAAATGCTTGCCAAGTAACTGACCCTCACGCGCCCCACATGCGCATGTCCAACATAAGAGCTGCTTAGACATACACATTTTAATATAGACGTCTACATATCTAACAGGAGGAGTAAAACTCATTGAATATGTAGTTGTACATAACTAGATATACATGTATTTATAAATATAGCTATCTATAGCTAATGAATGACCATTTATATCGCGTGAAAAGTTAAAACGTAGAGCCAGAAAAGGTTAGAAGGTATAACCAACAGATTGAAAGAAAAATACAGATACTACTAGTTCAGAAGATGAAAGACTGGTAGAACAACAGTTCAAAATAAAGAAGGAGGATAGAGGAATAATCCAAAAGAAAACATAGGTAGATTATAATAAAATACACAACCCTCATTGGGTTTCTAATGAAAGTCAACGGGTGCAGCGGAAAATTGTCCTTCGAATATTGACCCCAACCTCTAATACAACCAATAAACATCTAACGGCTGAACTTGACACCTTCTTCAAGGCGCTTTAACAATACTTGAACACTGGGGTCACTTACCTCATCAACCCAACCGCAATCTTCCACCCCAGTGACAACATCAGCCGAAGGTATGATAGACAGAACATCGACCTATAAAAGCGGTTGATAGACGTTAAAAAGGGATATAGCCGTATATCTAAACAAATAACGCATGACAAAAACTGAATGGACATTTATATAAACACGTAGAGGTCTAATATACATGAGCTTCTCCATCCAATTCCCACACTTTATCTAATTTCAAAGAAATTACAGGGAACATATGTTCATCGTCGGATTCTGGTTCGGTTCTATCACAACCTACTGAAAGGATGGCCGGCATAGCCTCCACAAATACAAGGACCAAAGCGTGTATAAAACCTTGGATGGCAACAGTGGCCTAAGCCAATTGAAGTAAAGATCTAGACTTAATGCATTGCAGCGTCATATCAAAACTGTACCGACCCCAAGGATATTTCAAAAACACATCCAAATCCCGAATCATCTCAACATGCTCCCTCGGAATCATCATTGTGGGCCAACTTCTCGGAGAACACCGGCTTTCAGTAAAGATCCATGATTTTCTCAAAGCTAGGTCGAATGGTTTCGATCTTCTTGGGAGCCAGGGCCTTTAGAACGGCTTTGATGATATTAAGCTTAAAGTACATGTTAACAAGATCACCGGCAGGTTCTTCTCAGTCCGCAAAAGCCTAGAAGAAAGGTCAATATCTGCCATTTTCCTGCAAAACAGAGGAGCCAATTTATTAGAAATATAGATCAATAAACGGATGATGATGACATGCAATTTATGTATGAAGCTCCAAATAAAATTATGGGTGTCTAACAGTGGATCTACGTCAAAGAGGTGAAGATACATGCAGATCTAAGGATGTGTATAAGGACATTTGAGGACGAAAGCCTAAATTAGAAATAAAATCGTAATGGCGAAAAAAAGAAAGCAGAGGTTAAAACAGAGAGATCTAAACGAATTAAGGAAAAATCAATTGGTTTTGAGAGAGAATGAAAGTGATAATTCGCCTCTTCGGATTCGGATCTATGGGATACCCAGTTACTTGTGATATGAGGCGACGCCGATTAGCAATCTCACCGGAGCAAACTCAGTCCTCGAAACAAAGGAAGAAGACGACGAGACTTAAAGTTTCGAGAGAGAGAAAGGATGGATGAGAGAAAATGAATGAAGAGATAAAGAGATATCTTCTTATAAAATATTTATCTCCTTATAAAATATTTATTTATATTATAGTTTAAAATTGTTATTAAGTACAGTTATAGTTTAAAATCATTAAATTCGTCCGCCATATAAAACCATTCCAAAATATAACCCGTTCCGTAATTTCTTAACCCGTCCCGGGATTTGTTTTTATTATAAAATTTAATGATTATTTATTATATATAAAAGTTTATAAATCATATCATTCTCTAAGTCATTTATATTTTAATAAACTGAAGATTTAATATGTATTAAAGCGGCATGTTAATGATATTTTAAAATTTTATAAATATTGATTCAAACTCGTCCACCATATAACTTCGTTCTGAAATATAACCCGTCCTGTAACTTTTTAATCCGTCTTGTGATTTGTTTTCTAAAAGTATTAATTTTTAAAATTTAACGATTATTTATTATATATAAAAGTTTGCAAATTGTATCATTTTCTAAGATATTTATATTTTATAGTTTACAATTGTTATTAAGTAACATTTAACCACGAGACAATTTTTGGTTTTATACAATCTTTTATGAATGAGATTCATTTAATATGTCTAATATTGGTGGTATTAAAAAAAATTATGGATTTAATCCGTATTGAAGCGGCGGATTAATGATATTTTAATTTTTTTTATTATTGTTGATTCAAAAACTCGTCCCGCCAAACCCGTCCGGCCAAAAAACTCATTTATTTTATTAATGTTGATCTTATTTATCATATGATTTTAAATCAGTGTCTAAATATTTTAATCGATGTAGAACGTTGAACACACATTTTCGTCAATTTGATAATATACGTCTGTTTTTAAAATTTCGAATAACAGTATATGCAAAAAAAATTGATTATTTTTTTAATTTTATATATTATATGATGATTCAAAACAGTTAAAAACAAATCAAAAAAAGATGATAGGAGAATCATAATTCTAAATCTTAATCAAATCTTCTAAATATCTAAATTATTAAATATGAAATATCCGGTGTATGAGTTAGATTAAATATAACCCGATCCAACAAATTTTTTATGACCAAATTTTGTAAATGGGTCGGATATCTAAAATATCCGATAATAATTTTATCCACCCGACTCAAAAGTGACTGCAAAAATACTAGTATAGATATAATTTTTATGACTTAATATTCGATAATCAATTATTTTTATCCCAAATTAATTGTGAACTAACTAACTGATTAATTAATAATTCTATATACTAATTCCGATATTACTAATTTATAAAGGTGTATTAAGTTCTATAACATAACATAAACTCAGAAAATAAAACTAATTTGTGTGGTACCAACAACAGTGACACATTAACCCATAATAAATTAATTTCTGTGGCAACAACAGATGTCACTGTTTCTGCTGAGCCTCCTAATTTTTTTTTGGCTATGATCTTCTATATCCATCGCATTCATCTTTGAATAAATTTTTTCAACAAATTTTTTTACATCTTTGAATAAATTTTTTTTGGCTATGATCTTCTATACCCTTCAACAAAAATTTTTTTTAAAAAAAAATAATAATTAAAAGTCTGACGTTAACTTGTTTTTGCATTTTTAAGCTATATAATGGGCCGATAAAGTAGAGTTTCTTGACCCAAAAAAAGTAGATTATATATTTATCAACCCAATCTTTATTTCACACGAACACAAAAATACATCAAAGTTATCATACAAAAACACAAACATTCAAAAGCAAAACCCCAAATCTTCAGTTCCCAGAATCTTGAACTCCCTTAGCTCCGCCAGTACCAGCCAACTCACTTCCACTGGAATCCGTAAACCCCATAGTCCCTACCATTGCAACCAAAACGTTTTGAGTAAACCACAAATAATAAACACATCAAAATCTTAACATTACGTATAACACAAGGACGAGTGAGTTTTACCAACGGTGGTGCCAAGTGATTGTGGAGACTCTTCAACTGAATGTGGCGATTTCGGCTTACCACCGAGCCAAGAAGTGACCGCTCCTTTAACTTTCCCTACCATTCCTTCTTCTTTCCCTTCCTCAGTAACCGCCTCACCATGTTCTTTCCCCTTCGATATCTGGTCAGAAGGTATCTTCTCCACCGTCACTTCCACCTCCTTTGTGGCCGTTGACTTCTTCTGTCCTCCTCCAAAATGAAGTTTCTCAGCTATCACCTCAGATAAGGCTTTGTCTTCTTCTCCAGGTCTCAGCTTCTCCGATAGATAATCTCTAGTCGACACACCTTTCTCTTCCCCTTGTTGCGTCTCCTTCACTCCACTTCCACCTCCGGAGAGAGGAAGTTTCGTCATCACCGTTGATCCTGTTTCTTTGACCTTTTCGTAGACCGGAGTCAACTTCTCAGCAACAGTAACCGCCACTTTCTGCCCGTAACCCGTAGCAGACCTCGGAGTTTCATCCTTTTCAGCGCTTTCGTATTGCCCGCCGCCGCTTTCTCCGTAACCTAGCTTTGAGGCGACGACGTTCTTCGCCGCTATAGCTTTGTTGGTTATGGCTGATGTAGCTGAAGCTAACTGCTCTGTGTAGGTGCTCGGTTTCCTCTCCTGTTTCGTCTCATCTCTGGTTTCCTCAAAATCATCTCTCTCTTTAGGACGAGATAGTTCCGGTGAGAACTGATCATGAGTTCCGGTCGGTAAGTCTCTTCCCAACCCAGTCTCTGCTTTCACATCATCACTTCTTCTCTGAAAATCTTCCCCGAGACCAGCTCTTGATTCTCCTCCAAGTCTTGCCGGAGAATCCTTGCTGATATCAGATTCGTTCTTCAGACCAAATTCTTGGCTTCTCGTCGGTAAGTCTTCTCCAAATCCTTGTCTTGATTTCTGATCAGGAGACTCATCAGTCACTTTCATCCGACTAAGAGACTCAGCAATCTCTGGTACTCCAGCTTCTCCACCTTAAACACAACAGACAAGAGTTATTACAGATTCATAAACATAAAACGCGATCTTTATATCTCGGCCAAAGTCATTACCTTTATGCGTGGGATCAGTAACTTTGGACTGATAATTAGATACACCACTAAGATAATCCGAACCTCCTCCAGGAGCAGACAGTGCCTCATGTCCGTAAGAGGTATCTTGTAATGAAACAGGCTCAATGGGTTTGGTGTGCTCGGAAGACACGACAGGAAAAACCTTTGTTCCTGGAGGAACAATCTCCTCCGGTGCTGGAACATTAGTTTCTCCGGTATGACTTAAAGACTCAGGTTTACCCGTTACACCACCTCTTACGGCAGAGGATTCATACACTGTGTATACACATAAAAAAAAAAAGAGAAACCGTTAATACCCAAAAACAGAACTACTAAAAATCATTTGTACTGGAATAAATGATAGATTGAAGAGGAATGAAGAGAAATTAACCTGGTGCTCCGTGCTCTTCTGGGTCTTGCTCGTCATACTCATCTTCTTCTTCTTCAACATCGTGATCATGACCATTGCCATGTTTAGTGAGACTGTTCTTGATCTTCTTAGCTTTTTCCTTTACTTTTCTTAACACTTTAGATGCTCCCTTATCATGATGCTCGTCTTCCTCTGTATCCGAATCACAATTAAGTAAGCAAATTGAGAGAAAGTTTCTGAAATTAGAATCTACTTTTCATAGTTATTATATACCTGGATGGTGAATTCTGATTGGTTCTTCTACTTGCTCATGACCATAAGGACGTGTCAACTGCGACTCCATTTTCCAAAGCTGTGTTTTCTCTTTTTTCAAGTGAATCAATCAAACTCTCTTTGTTCTAGCGTTGTTTTCTTCTTTTCGTGTCTCTGAGAAAAACAGAGCAAGGGTCTTGAAAGTTTATAGAGAGAATAAGTGAGAAGTATGACATGTGAACCACCTCTCTTGGTTTGTGTCTCTTTACTTCTGTAGGATTCTGACACGTACGATGCGTCCTTTTCCTCCTGCCACGTCTCAGCCATTTGCTCTCTACGTGGCTATGTGACATTATCTTTTTATCCGATCTTTATTAGAGAAGCCTACCGACTTAACTTCTACTCCCTCTGTTCCTAATTATTCTAATTATTTGATATTTTAGGGTTTTTACTTGTTCCACCAAGATTGATGTTTTGTAAAAATATTATTATTATTTTTGTTTATGACTAATAGTAGAAGGAGGGGGAGTAAAACTAATATTATTAAACTAACAAAATAATAATAAAAAAATATAAAAATTACTTTTTCTTAATTTGTATGTAAAACTAAAACATCATTGTTTTAGAAACAGAGGGTGTATTATTTTTAGTCGGTCCACGTTTATTGGCCCCATCATGTGATTATTTGGCATGTGCACTACGTGTTGTTTAAATATAACAAAACGGCATTCCATAATAGAGACGGCATGAGAAAAAATTCAATACAGAAACCAACTGCGTGCTGTTTTGAAAATTAAAAACGGCAGATCGTTCTCATTTGTAATTGAAAGACGACAAGCGCGAGCGTTGCTTCAGTCTCTCTCTCTCTCTCTCTCTCTCTCTCCCTCTCTCTCTTGAAATCGACGGAAGATATTTTTTAATTTCTTAAAAAATCAAAACCGCCAATTTCAAATTCGTTCTCTTCTTCTTCGTCACTGTTACAGTATCACATCCCAAGACGGATCTGGAGAATTACGATGCGAACTCGATTTCTCAACATCGATTACTTCTCTACTCCATCTTCTCAGGTATTTGAAACCCTAGGCTTCCTTAATCTTCCGGCTCCTGATAATTTTCCGGGACCTATAGTCTACGACGGAGAAGAAGACCGTCTCCGATTTGGCTCTGTCGAAAATGTCTGTCTCCCAATCGGGAATTTTACTATTGAAGCTGCTTTGTCGAAGTTCCTTTCCGACGTGGTTCCCGATTGCGTTAGTGTGGACTATGGAGTTTTTGAAATTGATGATTCTTCCCTCGGAGATTATTTCTCAGACGAGGTAAAGTTCCTTGGATTTGGCGATTCTCAGCTTGAATCTCGCTGTATATATGACTGCTTCTGTCAATGGTCCTTGGTTTCTTATAGTGAGATTGGTTTGTAGATTTTCCGGAATCTTTGGTTTGTGATTGTTGCTTGGATCTCATATTCATACCTTGGTTGAAAATTTTGGTAGCTTAAGGGAATCTGACTGGAGTTTGAATAACATAAGTTATGATCTATCGCAGAAGAATGACGGAGATGCCATTGAGGACAAAGCTGTATTTAACATTATGGAGTTGGAGACTCCGGAGTTGGATTTTGAAATGGTATTGCTCAAGCTGTGTAAACATTGTACCAATTGAACTAGTTCAACCATTTCTTTCTCCTTGCGAGATAATTTATCTTCCAATATGCAGGAGGAAATGATCTCATCTAAGAGGGAAGATCTCCAATGTTTCTCTGAAGTTCTAGAGATCGAAAATGAGCCGGTAAATCCCTGAGTTGATCTCAGTAGAAGTCAAAGTGTAAAGTTGGCACACACCACAGTAGTTAGTCTCTGGTTCCGATTCTTCTTTCCGATTGACAAAGCTCTTTGACTAATCAATTTCATGGAAAATTCTATTTAGCAGTATGGAAAGAGAGAATCTTAACTTTCTGGCCTTGTTGTGTTGATATTGAGTTTTCATCATCTGATTTTAGGTACTCTTCTTATTGCAGGTTAAATATGTTGAATTAGATACTATCTTACAGAACTCAAATGACATCCACCAAAGGATTTATTCTGTTGATTACATTTCTTCTGATTACTTCACAGAGAACAATACTTCGGTAGCAGAAAATGAATGCTCTAGCAAGAATCAACCATGGTTCAAAGATGCCAGATTTCCCCTTCTAGAAGTGGATGAAGTAAACTTGAGAGAACTATCGAGCTTATCTACGCTTGATAAAGTATTTACTGTTCTTGAAACAATTGAACCCCAAGATAAGAACGCAGCGAGTTCTCTCATTATCAATTCTAAGGAGCTTATAGGCTCTAAGGGTTATGATCTATTGGATATCCTCTCTACGGATTGCTATTTGAACAAAAGTGGTCAATCTGATGTGGTGCCAGAGGATGAATTTTCTGAAGTGGATTTAGTGAATATCCTGGAAATATCAAATGCTGAGGAAAACTTTCTGTTTGAACAACAAGGAAAGCTGGCTCTCCCAGTAACTTTTGAGGAATTTCAGATCCTGGATGTGGAAATATCTGATGTTTTTGATATCTTCCTTTGTCTTCTAAAAGCCATTGAACCAGAAATATGTTATGGGATGTTCAGTAAAGAGATGAACTTCAAGAATTTCGATGAATTAGTAGTCAGTTCCGAACTTGCCTTCACAGATGATGCCTTCAAGTCTCTGCCTACTCCTATTTTACATGATTATGAGATGACAAGATCTCTGGATCTCATTTATGAGGATGTTTTGTCAAAGATCAAGCCTCAATCCTTGTCTGCTTCAAATGACATATACTTGCCCTGGAACCTTCTTGAGGAAAGAAACCACAACCATTGTGATTATCCGTTTGAAGAAATAGTTACACTCAACATTGATTTTAAGTGGGAATCTTCAGAAGGAGACAAATGGGTTTATGATTTTATATTCTCTGAAGATGCTTTCAGCGAGCCACTTGTAGAGAAATGCACTGAACCTTTCTATGGTATATCTACCCTTGATGAGCATGCTCCTGTTAATACTTCTCATGGGTTATTGGAAAACCTTTTCCAAAAAACAGGAGCCAGGGATTGTGGAGTGGATGATAATGCTAAGAAGGCTACGCTGTTGTTCAAATCAATGTCTGCGTTTGATGACTTAACCTTTTTCATGGATCCTCAGAAGGCTGTGACTGAAGATAATCTCGGGTCTAGAGTCGAAGCTGCTAAGACGGCCAACCATAAATTTATGTCTATTGACTCGAAGGCTTCATGTATATCTGGTGGCATGCACCCAAACCTGAAGACGGAGGAAATGATACTTCACAGTGTGCGCCCTTCAGAAAATATTCTGGTTCTTGTTGGGGACTTTGTGAAGAGCTATTTAACTCTTGTGAAGGATGAATCAGAGAATTTATCAGAAGATAGACTTAAGTTACTCAGCATATCTAAAGGAAAGCTTATTGACTGCATAAGAAAGGCAAATGTCCGCAACACGCAGTTGGCGGATGATAAGACTTTCACGTTTGCATTACTACTAGCAATTAAACAGATGACATGGTATATGTGTTTCTTCGGTATCCATGTGGCATATCTCTATCTTAACAAGTTATGTCGAAGCTCAAATCCCATGAAGCTAGGATTGCACACCCTCTACTCAGCAGTTGAAACAGAACACAAATCAGATGAGACAGACGTCACAAGATCACATCCATCACTAGCTGTTATCCAGGGGATTTTACATTCAGAATTTGCCCGGGGGAACTCCAAAGCATTACTTTTGGCTGAGAAAGTTTTTTGGTCCTCGCTGAAGAGGCTACTGATGTCCATGGGTTTATCTTACAATGAGCTCAACAGTCCCTCCCCAAGTGAAAATCGACCAAATGTTCATGAAGCCACGGGGTTTAAAACCGTAGAACGTGGTTTCCTGCCGATTTCAGACTGTCTAATTATCTCTTACGAGTGAGTATTATTTCTTCCTATAGTCATATCCTCATTATCAATGATCATAGCTTTTCACAGTTGATTTTTATGGGAACTGGAAAGGGAACCAAAGAATTGATATATAACTGCCTGAAAAATATCTAGAGTCTTTTATCATGGTAATTGTAAGAGACACCACATAATCTTGTTACTTCTGAAATCTACTCGTGAAATTGTTGCATAATTTTTGTCTTTTAAGTCTTTGCATTCTAAAAAACATAACTTTATCGATTCTTTGTTCAATATCTTTTAGTTACATTGTCTCTTGGGGAGTAGTTAAGCTGACTAGTCCTTTCTTTTTCATCCAAGGCAAATTTCTCCATCTTTTCCTGTGGAGAATTTCAGCGTCATTGTAGAATATGGCGGTCCAAATGCCTCGCCCAAATTTTCTTTTCCTTCTAAGTTGGATTCCTTTCCTGACTTCCATTTCATAAAAGTTGAGATGGATATGTCCAGTGCATGCGGCCAACTGTGTGCAGGTGTCAAAGTACCTTATAGTCTCAAAATGATAAAGGTGAGAAGCATTCAACTTTCAACCTTTTTCTTACAAATTGTATCTGTAGATTGTATATTATGATGGAAGAATCTCTGTGTGAAGGGTTCAAATTAAGAGCAGAGGAGCAATCTATATCACAAATAATGTTTTCATGAGCACCTGGTCTTGATTGGTTTTCAACTCTGAAAATCATACAAGTTTAACATTAGTATGTACTTGAACTTAAACTTGTGTTGTCACATCACTAGTATTCACGCTTGTTCCATAACTGCATATATTGAACGCTTTGTTTGAATATGTTTCATAATATGCAGATACAAGAAGTCAAGAACTTATGACTGAACTTTAATGTCTCTTTTGTAGGAAGATGAAGTTGAGACGAAAACTGGCTGGTTGGAAGAAGTGTTGAACTTTGTTCCACTTGAAAGTGTGTGTTATGCAGGATCTTCAGTAACCACAAATGAATCTGAATATATCTCCATGCCTCAAGAATCTGAAAGAAAACGTGGGATAATTGAACAAGGAGTTCTCTCTGACCAAAGATCTGTGATTGTTGTGAATTCAAAAACTGTTGATAAGGAGATGATCATATCCAGAAGAAGTACATACCAGAAGGTGTTAGCAATGGAAAAAGAAGGAGTGCAAGTTGTGGAGCGCGATTCAGATCTACCTGTGGACCTGATGCTAAGTCCTGCAGTTTGCCTACTCTGGTATGATTGTGAAACTGTTAGTAAGAAGTCGGCTGCAACTATTGGTACTTCCTCAAGCTCACTTTCATGGATTGGAGATATCGCAACCAATGTTTTGACGTCATTGAGTTTCAGTTTCAGCACCTGCATTATGGTAAATTCCATGGAACTTTGCTTCTTGCCATTCGTTTGTGAGAACATTGCACTAATATTTTTGCTAACTGGATGATTACAAACTTACTAGATGTTTGCTACTCACTTATGTACCAAGTCTCTGCAACATTTTGTTCTAAACTGTAGAGTGAGTCCTGAGAACTTAAAGAATGATTGTAATTTTTCCTACAGGTTTTTGAGGGGGAACCCGCCTTTCTGGCTACAATAATGGACTCCTCTGATGAACTGTATGTAGCAGCTGGTAGCCTGGGAATCAGTTTACAGATGTTTTGCTCATCGTCAGCTGATTTCACGGATGAAATTATATTGAGGTGTATCAAGTCGTCTGTTAAGTTGTCCAAACTCCATGTCAAAATGCCCGAGTCAGAATCTCTAGCAGAATCATTTCTCACCAAGTTTCCTTCCGTGAATCCACTCACAGCTCAAGTAATTCTGTCATCTTCTGGGTCACTTCTCGAATTCATGAAGCTCCCACATAAAAGCAAGGTTGATAGGATGCAAAAGTATCATGTACCTGAAGAGAGTGTTGATCTATTCAGTTCACTATGCAGATACGGAGCGAGGGAGGACTCCAGATCTGTAATGACAGACAGCTCTTCTTCGGTATCTTCTGGACCTGACTCAGACACACACCATGTCAGTGTCCATTCTGGTTCGAAAAAGAAACAGTACATTGCTGAGAAAGATGAGATAGATATGGACGACTTGGTCCATTTTGCTCCCTCCACAGAATTTGCTGATGCGCAGCTCAAGTCTTCTGGTGATTTTCAACTTGATGATTCTTGGTCATCGAGAGATAATGAGATATTTCATTTTGACCCTGTCACTGAATTCTCTGATGCACCTTTCAAGCCTTCTGGGATCAGTCATCCCAATGACTCTTGGCCATCTAAAGATCCTGAGAGATTCGACAAGAAGCCAAGACCTGGTTCATCATCAAAGGACACATTTTGGGAGAAAGATCAGCCTGGTTTTTCAGTGGAGGACAGTCTTCCTGGAATTCCTGAATTAGAAGATTGGAGTTTCCCAGTTAAAGACAAGTTCAAGAGCCAGAACAGAGGATGTAAATTCCCAGTGATGGGAGATTTCAACTTGCATGACAATAGGAACTCAGAGAGTTTCATCGTAGACTACAAAGGTGAAGTAATCAACAGAGCTGATAAATTTCTGGAGGAAGACTTCCCGCCTTCTCCTGGTTACAATAGGTTTTCTCCAATAGTTTCTGATGTTGATGAAGAGGAACTTCCAAGAAAATCAAAATCTGCAAGGAAGTTATCTTTCTTTGGATCTCTCCAGCCTAACTTCCCAAAAGCAGCTGAGATCGACTTGAGTTCTGAAAGATTCACCACCGAGAAAGATTCAAAATATGATAACAATGCTTCTTTGCGTGGTTATGCTGATAACTATCCAGCAAAACGCCAAAGAACCCTTTTGGAGGAGGTCTTAACTCGGAGATCCGCAGTTCCAACAACAGAGCTTCCATTTAGAGAAGAGATATCACATTTTGGTGGATCTCCACTATCAAACGCAATCCGTTCTTCAAATCAAGTACAGAGTTCTCCTTGGACGGTTGATTTCCTTAACAGAGTTAGAGAAAGAAGCAGGGCAAGGAAACAACATCAATCTCTTCCTTCTTATGTCACTCCCTCTAGTTTGGAGACTCCAGGGAACATAAAGAAAGCTAGTACCAAGAGAAAGAGTCCTTCCATACTAGAGTTTTTCAAGTATAAAGGAGGCAAAAAAATTCCAGAAGAGAAAAAGCAGAAGCGGTCAAAAACTTCTTCAGCCTCGCCAAAAAACGAGAGATTTTACTCTCCTCTTAAGTCATGGACACCAATTGATAAGCGAGCAAAACAGGTATTCGTCCTATATGATCCCTATATAAGTGAGATTTGTTCGTACCAAAATGATTGCTTTAACAATGTTTTCTCCATTTTAGTCTCTATCTTACGCAGGGAATGGAACTGGAGGCCAAACAAAACTGGTATGGAAGTAATAAAACAAACACGGGGTAGCAACCAGTCAGTGGGAATTCAATGTGGACATGATCAGATTTGGAGGTGGGCATCTCAAAATCTTATGTAAGCGTTACTTATTTCAGAGGAAAATATTGATTTCTTGACAAGTTTATAAAATAATGTTTTATGAGAGAAACGAATTCTATTAACAACACAATTTATATAGTTATTTCTACTAATGATGTTACATCAATTGTAGTCGCAGCAACATACAAATACTAAAACTTCTTACCGTTCTTGAGGTTTCTGACAGCCATCACAAGTTGTTGTCTTTCTCCTTCTACCTCTGCAAATCTCAGGCTTATCTCTGAATATCTCTCTTCCATTTCTTTCAACTCTCTCTCCATTGAACTGTTTTTGTTCTTACAATAAGCCAATTCATCTGATAGCTTTGTTAGATTCTCCTCTTTGTGTCCGTTTTCTTGTGACCTTGCTTCCATCCTGTTATTGTTGTGTTAGATAGTAATAAGTCAAATATTCACAACTGAAAAATAACATTTCAATTTAGTTAGTTTATTTTCCACATACCTTGCATCTAGGATTTTAGTCATTTCTTCTTCTTTTCTCCGAATATCGACTTTCAAGTTTGATACTTGTTTTCTCAGTTCATCATTCTCCATTTTTTCTTGAACAAAGCTGTTTTGTAATTCACTGTACTGTAGGCTTAGACCTTCTACTTCTGTCTTCAAATTCCTGAGCCTGGTCTCTTTTTCATCATTTGACGACTTAGTGAGAGTTAACTCTTTCTGCGCTGTCTTGGCTTCGTCTTTAGCCAAAGCAAATTTTCTCTCAAATTCATCTCTTTCCTTCCTCCACTCTTGAATTATCTTCTCGGTTTCGGTAGCTGCTGCATACGATTCATCTCTCAGCTTTGTGAGCTTCAGGACCTCACTTTCAAGCATCTGGACTTTCATTGACAAAGCTTCGTTCTTCTCTTCCACGTGCTTCTTTTGCTCTTTCTCTTGCGTAACCTCGGTATGTGTTTTCTCTTGCATTTCCTTAAGAGTTTTATTTTGCAGACGAAGGTCGTTTGCCTCAGCCAATGTCTTTGTCGTCAGATTCTCATGCTCACTCAGCTTTGATTTCATTTCTAGAGAAATCCTCTTGCATTTTTCTTGAAGCCGCTCTGCTGTTATAGCATTATTCCATCTTGTTTTCCTTAGATTCTCCTCTGCTTTGATGGCTCTTTGCTCTTGTTCAGTTTTTTCCCGCATCATTGTGTCAATATCTTCATCAAAAGCGCTTGCTTGATCCTCCAGTTCTTTCTTTAACTCTTTCACCTGACTCTCAAGTTCATTAACGGTAATCAAGCATTCCGAATACTCCAACGATTGCTGCTTCAATTTGCCTTCCAATATCTCTATCTGAGATTTCAATTCCTCTATCATATCCTTGGAATCGGAGAATTCATCTTCCGCATTTGAGCATTCTTGCCACTCTAATCTTGAGGAAACGTTTTTGTATTTTTCTTCTTTTAAGGACTCATATTCCTGAGTAAGCTCATCTAATAGAATCTCTTGTTCTTCGTTCTTTTTCCTGTAAGAATCTAACTCCCAATCTAAATCTTCGATCTGTTGCTTTAGCTTATCTATCTCATTGTTTCCAGAATCCAATCCCTTATCCTCTTCATGCTTCTCAGCCTCCTCTAATAAGCTATTCAGAGAAGATATCTCATTGTTCTTCTGCTCCAACATCTCATTGAGATCCCTCACAGCAAGAATCAAATTAGAGTTCGACTCTTGTGTCCTCTGCAACTGCAACTTAAGGTTACTCGTCAAATCCTTCTCACAACTCAGCTCATCTCTAATCTCCCCAATCATATTGCTCGAATCTTCGCTGATGCATCTCAATCTGCTTTCAGCATCAGCCTCGTCTCTACTATTCTGCAACCTAAGCTTTTCACACTCTTCCAAAGCTCCATCTCTTTCACCCTTGAGACAACTAACTTCCTTGGACAGTTCCTGTATCCGTTTGCTCTCCTTTGTGGCCTGTTTCCTTAAAGACTGTTTTTCCAGCTCAGATAACTCTGATTGCCTCTTCAAAGCTTCCAATTCCATCTTGAGCCTTTCGATAGGATCACTCGATTCAGTAACACTAGAGAATCCTCTTTGGAAATTGTTCTCAGGACTGTTTCTTGACTCGATGTAACTCTCATCTGATGTCGAACTAGCTGACCAGTCCGTGTTTGATCTTCGATGCCCGTTTCTTGTTGCAGGAACTGAGTTATGTCGTTGAGGTAACCGTGCATTCCCCTCATCTATCCATCCCGATTCACCAATCGAATCAAAGGAACCTCCTAGGCCAGCATTCTTAGCCGTCTTCACATCTAAGCTACTCTCCTACAAAAAGATCTATAACTATCACGATCGTTCTTAATAGACAAGAGACAGTTTTAATTAACTCTTTGAACCAAGAAACCTTACATCTTGGCTATATCCTTCTAACTCATCATTGCTTTGTAGACTTTTGAAGCTGTCTTCTTTGCTAAGTGTTTGATCTTTATTTTCCTCAATAAATCTGCAAAATTTGATGTCAAAAATCTATTACAAAAGAAAACAGGAAACGACGACAACAACATATAGAAAAAACTATTTACTTTAAATCACTAGCTCCTTGTATCTTATGGATTGTTACCTGCACCAACAACCAAACAGTTTATATAACTTTCTCATACATTTTTTTTCAATTTCTAACTTCAGGATTAAAAAGAGGAGAAGAAAAGAGATTACATTTAAGACAGCACCAGAGTTGGCAAATTTGAGAGGTAAGGAGACAGTTAATGGATCTGCTTCAGTCAGAAAATCTGCAAAATCAATGGAAGCTTCTCCTAGAAAACCCGATTTCGAAGAACCCTGAAACAGATTTTGGAAAATTTTGAGTCTTTTTCTTCTTCAGATTAACTCAAAAGACATAGTCACAGAGATTGTTGGTTTCACTCACTGTTGCAACAACAAAATGGTAAATCTTCTCACGAACAATCCCAGTTTTTGGTTCTTTGATTAGCTTCACTGACACATAAATTGGATTCTCCCATGAACAGATCCCTTCTTTAACCTCAGATTTCTCCAGCTTAAATGTTGGCTTCCCAACATCATCAGGAACCAATGAGATCATCAAAGCAGTCTTCTTCAACTTCGGTACCTGAAAATAAAAAGGTAACATCCCCAAATTTCACATTCACATTCAAAACAAATCTTGAAACTTATAGAGTGACAGATCTAGGATTATAGTAAACACATTGTCTGAATTTCTCAGAGAAAAATATGAAATTGAGATTTAAAGAGACAAAACACAAACCTGAGTTGCCTGAAACTGAAGTTTGAACACAGCCTTGATCTTGTTCTTGTCGTTCCTCCATGACTTAAACATTGTTTTCTCGAAAGAAACCAAACCAAAACCTTCTTCAACCCAAAATTTGGATTTTCAGATTCTCTGATTTGTTTCTGTTTCTTCCAAAGAATGTAGGAGGAAACAAAAACAAAACACAACAACCTGATTTACAGTCTGTGATGATCACTTTCCTTGTACAATATAAAGGTTGATTCGTACAACTTTTTAATATAAAAACTTAATCAGTGAGTTATAAGTAGATTCCATCTAAGAAAGCTTTTTTTTTTTTTCTTACTGCTTTAATGGGTTTGATTGAGTAGGAAATTAACTTTTATTAGTTTATTAATAGAATTGAAAAGTGCTTTTCTTTTTAATGCAGTAAGGCATATAATGTGGGTGATTTTATGTGTCCTTATAAATTTAATAGACACCCCAACCTCCCTTTTTAATTGCCTACTTGTCTGACTTACACAAAGTCTTAGTAACTAAAACTTGTATAATATAAAGTTATCTTTGTATAGAAAATTAGGTTTCATTTTATGTCAGGGTAAAGAGTAGGTTAAGCCTTTTCATGTTGGTAGGGTTTACTAGAAAATATTTCAAATTAGTAGTTAGTTACATTTATTTCAAGTGAATAAGTTATATTTTGTTTTTATTGTACTATAGTTAAATGAATGAAACACATCGCATATTACACCATTATTGCTCGTATCGGTGGCCCCAAGAAAAACCAGAGACGCCTTTATCTGCATGCCACATACTCGTCATGACTCATGATCCATTATGCATTATGTTTATGTACATACAGCTGTACACACTATAGAATATATGTATGTTGCGTGTGTTTCCCTTAAATTATTAATGATACACATTTATTTCAGAATTTTATATATACATACACGCATATGAATCCTCACTCTATATTTTCTTGTATCAGTAGATAAATATTGGTTTGATAATTGCAACACTCTCTTCTTCTTTTTTGTACTTAATTGCAATCTTAAACTAGTTTTGAAAGGTGCACAAAAAAAAAACTAGTTTTGAAATATGCACATATATTAGACTTTTGTGATAATTCTATAAGTTTGATTAAAGTTAGACTAAGGAGGCCTTAAACCGAACCAACTCATCAGAATTAATGATTTTGATATTCTAATAATGAAGAGAAATATTAAAAATGTTTATAGCTGATTATAAAATGATTAGAAGCTGGATCATACGGATATAAAAATGGCGTAAGTATTGGAAGCACATGAAAACATGTGCAACAAACACTGTCCCTCTCTTCAATGCACTCATTTTCTTTGTCTCCTAATTTTTTTAAAAATGTTATTTTAGACAACTGATTTTTGAATGCTGGAGTGGGCACTAGACCCTCTTATGCTTGGAAAAGCATTTTACATGGGAGGAATCTGTTAAGCCAGGGTCTTGTTAAGAACATTGGCAATGGAAAATCTTTTCGAGTTTGGATTGATGATTGGATTGAAGATGATGGCTGGCGTGCTCCTTATAGGAGAAATTATTTCTTCAATCCTGATTTGAGAATTTCTGAGCTCATTGACTGGGATAAAAGGATTTGGGATCCTCAGAAACTTGAGTTTCATTTCCCTCCTTTGGATATTCTTATAATCAATAAGATCAAGCCAGTGACTGAACTTGAGGACTTTTATTCATGGAAACATAATAAGAGTGGCGATTTTTCGGTAAAGTCTGCTTATTGGTTAGCTTCCCAATCTAGCAATCTTCAGACTAGAATTCTTGCTGAGCAGCTCCCATCAACGAATGACTTGAAAGCTCAGGTCTGGGCTCTTCAAACTGATCCCAAGATTCATGTTTTCTTATGGAAAGTTCTATGTGGAGCTTTACCTGTGGCGGCTGCTCTTCTAGGCAAAGGAATGAAAATTGATTTAAGATGTCAGCTTTGTGGTGATGAGGACGAATCGGTGAACCATGTTTTATTCACATGTTCCATGGCTAGACAGATTTGGGCTCTCACTGGCATTCCTTCTCCAAGTTGGGGATTTCATAATGGTTCTGTGTTCAATAACATTCATTATCTGTTAATGAATACTACGAATACTCTTTGGCCACATGAGTTAAGATTATCCTTTCCTTGGACTTTATGGCGTATTTGGAAGAATAGAAATCTTGCATCTTTTGAAGGAAAATGTTTTTCTCCTCTGGAATCTGCTCAAAAGGTGAAAGAAGATTGGACTGAATGGGTTGAGGCTCAAAAGGGTGATGAAGAAATTGGGTTGGTGAATGGACCTGAGACTCACGGCTTGTCTCCTCTCGGTCATGGCATTGGTAACAGAAGATATGGTTGGTCTCCTCCTCCTTTAAACTGGTTTAAGTGCAATATTGGTATATCTTGGTCCAACAGGAACAAGTTTGCGGGTTGTGCTTGGGTTTTGAGAGATCACTTGGGGAAGGTTCTGTTACACAGTAGAAGAGCTTTTGTGAGGCTGTCTGATAAGCAAGAGGCTCATTTTATAGGTTTAATGTGGGCAATTGAGAGTATGCGGAGTCACAGAGTAGAAAATGTGATTTTTGGGCTGCAGGTGGAGTCTTTGGTTAAGGCTATTAACAGACCTATTGCTTGGCCTTCTTTTAGATATCAATCTATGGAGGCTGGTTTGGTTCTTAAGTTTTTTAGGCGATGGAAAATTATTTTGGAAAACTCTTCTTCAAACAGGTGTGCTTTTCTTATTGCGAAGAGTGTTACTAATGATTGTAGACTTCAATCGTATGTTACGGTTGGTCATCCTTTTTGGCTTGATGGTGTCTTCGCAGTGGAAAGAGCTTTGGCGTCTGATTGAATCTGAGTTTTTGTGGAATCGGCTTCGGAATGGTGAAGTGTATTCCTTTGTATTAGCCCAGCTTGTTTTAGTTTGTGGCTCCTTTTGGCCTGTGTTTTTTGAGTTGTATTGCTCTTATGCATTGGTTTGGTTTCTCGGGGATGTTATTGTTTGTAGCTCTACATCTCTTTCTAATATAATTCCAGATGACAAAAAAAAAAGACATCTCATCTGTTAATATTTTTTCGTTAACAAGGTTTGTATATCCCCACTCTCTCCATAATTTGGTCATAATTTTTTGGGGATTAAGACTCTTAACTTTATCTATGAAGAAATCTGGTTCAATAAAAGACATATCTTCATTGGGCCACTAAGTTGTTAGGTTTTGTTATAATTGTCAAACTGCTTTATAAATATAAGATTTATTTAATGTTTTAAGAAAAAGTTACTCAAATCACCACAAATTAGAAAATTACTAAACTATTCCTCAAAATAAAAAATCATCCAAATAATCTTAATTATTTTTTAATCATCCATATTAATTTGTTGATTGATCCAAATTTTTAGTAACGACGTCACTATAATAAATATATCATCAACCAATGACGATTGTTGGATAAATAAACGTTTGCCGATTACACAAAACTGATATAGTAGGTTAAAAACCATGTGTCTCAATCTTGTTTTCATCTATTTCGGATATCGGTTCATATCGAATATTACACAAAAACCGAACGAGTGCTAAATATATATTTGAAGCCTATCTAATAAATCTCATACCCTTCTAATCTATAGTTACATGTTTAATCTAGTTATTTGGATACAAAGTAACCAGTCCGAACAGTGCATGATATATTTTTACTCATCCGTTTTACTTTTTCATTCGATTATATTTAGATGTTGAATATTTTTGAATCGTTTGGATAGATTTGATATAAAATATTCGAATATACAAGTATCTGAAAAAAATATTGGTTTCTCACAGTAATTTATGCTCTTATTCCATGTGTTGGTGATTCTTATCAACCACGATGGATCTACTCTAAGAGGCCTCGACATTGAAAGATGCTAAATCAACTTATCTCAAGTTTCAGATATCCTTAAAGCTTCAAATGCCTCAAATACCTTTCAATTGCGGGAGTTGAAAGCGTTGATGATGATTTTTTTGTCAAATATTTGGAAGCATGTGGTTTTAACCTGACTAGTGTTTTGCTTGCCATATGCGAGTAAATATGCTATTGATATAATCATGCCTCTAAGTTTCGCTTGAATTCATTTTATTAGTTTGTCTAAGATAATATCTTTGGTTTTTCTGTTTAATCTCAAATAGTTTATTTTAAAATATAGTGTATTAGTAGTTAAATTCCATATCAGAGAGATTTAACAAAGAAACCATTTTCTGCAATTTCGAACATATATTCTGACTTTGTTTTTGTGTTTAAAATATAAAATAGGTATATCTTTTTTCTTTTTGGTAGACATAATTTAAGCATATCAACCAATGGCAATAGTTGGATGAATAAATGTTTGTCGATTACATAAAAGTACAAAACTAATACAGTAGGTTAAAAAAGGTGTTATTAAAAATTCCCTGTCCTATTTTATAAAAAAAAACATTTGGCTAATAGCTTTTCGTTTTTTCAATTACGTAGGGGTTCTTAATAATTTAGAAAATATAAATATAAATTAAAAATGAGGCTCTCGATAATGGTGAAAGATTCTTAATTTTACCTAACCCCTATTTATTTTTGTTGTAATACTTTAAAACGACATCGTTATTGTCATTTGGACGGACTCAGCCTAAGGTCTTTGTTATCAATAAGTGGGCTGGGCTCATATAGGTTGGATTTGAGCTTGTAACACATCCAGTGGCATGTTTCGTAAATTCCTCGGTCGTTGACTAGTGGACACACGGAGGTGCGGCGGAGTTAATAGATGCCTCCTTTGGCTACTTCTTCGGTTACCACGTGGCATTGGCAACAATCTAATCGTCTATTAGATGTTCTTCAACGCCACGATAACACTCATTTGATTACAAAATTAAATAAACTGATTCATAGGTGTTTCCGAATTCAGAAAAACGTGGCCCACAAAATGTATAATCAAAAGTCGTACTAGATTTTCATTGGAATCACTGCTGCCGTCAAGTACCACAACGAGTTAAACATCCCAAATTTCTATAGCCTCCATTCTTGGATTGGTTTTGTAAGCATAATCATGTATTTCATCCAGGTAAATTCCTATATAGCCAGATTAGCCTTCCATGAAAGAATCTCTTGAATCAAAGCTTTTTTTATAAAAAATTTTCTATTAGTTGAATCATTTTAAGTGGAATCGAAGTTGTTGATCGAAAGGTTATTTTTTCAACTTTGCAGCTGGAGAATGGCTTTATAATTTTCTTCAAAGCATCAAAGAATCATATATACGTCCAGTACACGTGTCTACTAGCCTCTATATTTTTGTTGTTGCTGTTGGAAACTCGGTTTTAGGGTTTGTTGAAAAGCTTACTTCCATGGAAAATTCAGGGGTTGACAAGTATGGATCAGAAGCGTTTCTAGTCAATTCGATGGCTGTGGTCACAATTATCTTTGCTAATTTATATGATCTCTTCAATCTTCTTCCCTTTAATTTCAAGTCTCTACTTCCCTAATTTTCCCTTTATTTAATCGCATTTCTATCCGAGATAACTAAGTAAGTTTGCTTATAATGGTGTTGAAAGTTTGATTTATTTCACAAATTATTTTTCCATGTAAGTTGTAATTCGATCGATTTAATGCAATACAATTTGTACGAAAAATAACTCCAAAAACAGACGTCAAGGTCGTAACTTTCTTTATTTGGTCCGATTTTTTTTGTTTGTTTGTTTGAGCTCGAGCACCTTGTAAATTGTAATTCCCTCAACATGATTTGTATGTCTTGATCCTCAGCGCTAATTCAACAATGGATGACTTACTATTGAAAATTTCTTATAAAAAGTAGAAATATTAAATATAAAGCTTTAATATTAAAAAAAATTGTTACTTACCCAAAATAAATATGATCGATTGTGATCGTTATTGTAGTTTTTACTTTTTAGTGAGAGACACGGTCTTAAATCTGTGACTCTTAGCATGATGTTATCAGATAAGAGAGAATTAGAAAGTTTGTTATTTCTCATTAAGTGTAAAAGTGTTTACATGTACAGTATATATAGTAAATAAAAATACATGTGAGTAAAAACTATTTACATGTATTACTATACTCTAATACCCCTCCCTCAAGTCGAATTCTTCAAGAAGGAAGAAAGAGACTTGAAAAAGCATATCTTGACATGAGCATCTTGAATGTCTTGGGAGGTAGAGCTTTAGTAAACAGATCAGTCAGTTGATTATCCGTAGTAACATGCAACAAATTCAGAAAACCAGCTTTGTACCTGTCACGAACAATGTGACAATCTATCTCTATGTGTTTGGTGCGTTCGTGAAAGACTGAATTTGAAGCAATCTGAATGGCTGCAGTGCTATCACAGTAGAGATTAGTTGGGCCAGTAACTTGAACATGAAGATCCTTTAGCAATTGACTCAGCCAAAGTAATTCACACGTTGTATCAGCTAAGGCTCTGTATTCTGATTCAGCACTACTACGTGAGGCAGTTTGTTGCTTTCTGGATTTCCATGAGATCAAAGAAGAACCAAAGAAAACACAGAAGCCAGTAGTAGAACGGCGTGAATCTTGACAAGTTGCCCAATCTGCGTTTGAAAAAGCTTGTAGTCTGAATTCAGAGTTTGCAGAATAGAACAGACCACACCCTGGATCTCCTTTTAAGTATCTGACAATACGATGAGCTGCTTGTAAATGTTGAGTCCTTGGTTGAGAGAGATATTGACTCAGTTTGTGGACAGCAAAAGTAATCTCAGCTCTTGTAATAGTAAGATATAGCAGCTTGCCAATGAGAGCTCTGTATACTGTGGCATCAGGTAATAATTCACCACTTTCAGCATGTAAATGTATATCAGAGTCCATTGGTGTTGCCACTGGCTTGCAACCTAGAAGACCAACACTTTCCAACAAATCCAAAGTGTATTTCCGTTGACAAACGGAGATTCCATTCTTGTTTCTAGCAATTTCAAGTCCAAGAAAGTACTTAACTGGACCAAGATCTTTGAGTTTAAAAGCAGTGGACAAAATATTCTTCAAATCTGAGACGGCTTGATCACTGTTACTGGCAATAAGGATATCATCCACATACACTAGTAAAGCAAGAAAAGTGTTACCCACTTGCCTTACAAAAAGTGTGTGATCTGACTGAGATTGAGTAAAACCATTCACCAATAACACATCTGAAAATTTCTTGTTCCACTGTCTTGAAGCTTGTTTTAACCCATAGAGTGATTTGTGGAGTTTCCAAACTGCTTTTGGAGGCAAGCTTTCACCAGGAGGTGGTGTGTAACCTGGTGGCAACTCCATGTAAATCTCCTCATCAAGATCACCATGCAAAAAAGCATTTGTAACATCCATTTGAGTTAGAGACCAGTTGTGTTTGGCAGCCAAATCCAGTAATAATTTGACTGTAACAAGCTTTGCTACTGGAGAGAATGTATCAATATAATCCACTCCTTCTTGTTGAGTATATCCCTTAGCAACCAATCTAGCTCTGTATCTGTCAATAGTCCCATCAGCATGATGCTTTATCCTGTAAACCCATCTGCAGCCAATGGGCTTCTTTCCCTCAGGCAATGTGACCACAGAGAATGTACCAGTGTTAACACACGTTTGTAGCTCTTCATTCATAGGTCCATGCCACTTTTCAGACTTGATAGCCTTAGCAAAAATTTTTGGTTCTGACTCCGCAGAAATGTTGAAAATGAACTGTTGATAGTGATCATTCAGCTGAGAGTAATCAAGTACCGTTTGCAAGGGATAGGAAGTATTACCACTGTCATTAGGGATGTGTCGTACAAGATTGCAGTGATAATCAGCCAAATAAGTTGGCTTACGAGTGTTCCTCTTAGGCCTGTTTCCATCAACAAGAATAGTAGAATCTGATTCTACTGAGACATTACTGTTATCAGATAAAACTTCAGGAATAGGATGAGGAATGGAAGAAGAAGATGATGATGAATCAGGAATAGGAAGAGGAAGTATAGTAGAAGAGAAAATATCAATGGTGGAAGAAGAGAGATCAGAAGACTGAAAAGGAAAGATATCCTCATGAAATAAAACATTTCTTGATATTGAAATGGAATGAGTTTCAAGATCAAGGACTTTATAACCTTTGTATCCAGAAGGATAACCAAGAAAAACTGAGGCTGTTGCTCTAGGAGAGAATTTGTGTCTATCTTTTGGATAGGTAGACACATAACAAAGACAACCAAAACTTTTAAGATTTGAATAATTTGGTTTCTTTTGGAGTAATAGTTCATAAGGAGTTTTATTTTGGAGAAGAGTTGAAGGAGTTCTGTTTATGAGAAAGACATAAGTGCGAACACAATCTGACCAATATTGTAATGGCACATTAGATTGAAAAAGAAGGGCCCTGGCCACATTTAGAATGTGTTGATGTTTTCTCTCCACAACTGAATTTTGTTGTGGTGTATCAACACAAGAAAAGTAATGAAAGATTCCTTTGGATTGAAGAAGAGAAGTAAAAGAAAGTTCAGGGGCATTGTCTGAACGAATGGCTTTGATTTTACTAGAAAATTATGTTTCAACAGTTTGTATAAAAGTGGGAAAGACTTTTAAAACATCACTTTTTGATTTCAAGAGATAAACCCAAGTTACTCTAGTGCAATCATCCACTATAGTAAGAAAATAACGAAAGCCTTCAACTGAAACAACAGAGAAAGGACCCCAAACATCCAAATGTATAAGATCAAAAGGTTTCTGAGACAGATTATTAAGAAAAGGAAAATCTAAACGTTTCTGTTTTGCAAGATGACATGTCTGACAATGTGACCAATCTTTAAGTTTTGTTTTTGAAAGAGAAAGATCTTCAGAAAGAGCTTGAATCTTGGGAAAAGATGGATGACCCAGTCTTGAATGCCAAAGAGAACTAGAATCAGAAACAGTGAGATTGCAAATGGAAGAAGATGGAGCTTGAGATGATGAAGATGAAGTTGCAGTATCCAGAAAATAGAGTTTATTCTCAAGATGACCTTTACCAATCATCAAGCCCCGAGTAAGCTCCTGAATTGTGCAAAAGGAAGGGAAAAAATTAACTGAGTATGCACAATGTTGAAGAAGGGAACTGACACTGATGAGATTAAGATGGAAAGATGGAATGAAAAGGACATTTTTAAGAAGAAGTTTATCTGATAACAAAACAGTTCCAGATTGGTTGATAACAATCTGAGAACTATTAGGCAATTTCACAGTAGTATCAGGAATACTATTAATGTCAGCAAACAAGTTTAAGTTGCAACACACGTGAGTAGTGGCACCAGAGTCAATAATCCATGCATTGAAATTAAGGCATGGTTCTGAGAGGGTTGTGCAAATGATGTTACCTGCAGAAGTAGAGGGATATGTGACACCAGGAGTCTCAGAAATGCTTGGCATAGAGCAGGTGGATTTGGTAGTCAATTGAGAAGCTAACTGTGCAATCTGCTCAGATGATAGCTGAGCCAAAGCATTAGACACTTGGTGAAAATGATCGTGTACCGCAGGAGATGTTGTAATAACATTGCCAACCATATTATCTCTTGATTCTTTCTGACTCTGCATTCGTTCCTGATGAGGGATGAATTGTTGACCATGTTGTTGTTGCTGCTGTTGTTGAGGAGCAAAAATAGGTCGAGACTGAAACTGCTTTGGAGCAAAAGTAGGAGCAACATTCTGATTACCATAGGATTGAGAACCATAAGACTGAGCTGGAGACTTATATCCAAGTGGATAACCATGAAGTTTGTAACACTTGGTAACAATATGTCCCTGCAATCCACAGTAAGTACAAATGGGATGTTGCTTAGGTCGATAACCACCTGAAACAGCGCCAACAACTTCAGAAGAACCAGAGTAATCATTAAGGACTGGATTGTGCTGGAAATTTTGATCATAAGAAGATGGAGCCTGCTGAGAACTCATCTGAAAAACTACACCACTAGCCTGAGGAGTTTGCTTGATTTCCTGTTGATGTTCATGTTGAATCACCAGATTCAATGTTTTTTCCAAATCAGGCAAAGGATCACGCATGATGATAGATTCTCTGACATTTTCATATGATTCATTGAGACCAAATAGAAACTTAATCACAAAGTTTCTCTCAAAAAGTTTCATCCATTTGCTATTCAGATCACAATCACAGCCACCACATTGACAAATAGGAAAATCTTGAGCACTTTTCACTTCTTCCCAAATCGTAACCAGTTTTGTGTAAAAAGTATTAACATCCAAAGAACCTTGACGAAGTCCAACAAGTTTTTGTTCAATCCGATAGAGTCTAGGAACATTGTTTTGCTGGTAGATCTTCAATAATTTTTGCCAAATACCATGTGCAGTCTTCACATATAACACGCTTTGGCCTATAGTTTTGGAAACAGAGTTCATGAGCCAAGATCGTACCACATCATTAACTCTGGACCAAGTCGCTGCATCTTTATGGCCATCATCGGGTTTAGGAAGACTACCATCAACAAAACAAAGCTTATTACGACCGTTTAACGCCATGAGCATCGATTGATGCCATGATCCAAAATCGCTAGCGCCAGTGAGACGATCTGACACCAACACCAAACCAGAATGATCATTATTAGTGAGAAAATAAGGATTGTCATATGAATCGCGAGTCGTATTCGCCATTGAAACGAAGCCGAGATAACGCGAAGCTTAACAAACGAAAAAAAGATGAAAAAGAGCAATCGGAGCTCAAAAAGTTGAAACAAAGCTCGATCCGAAACAATCGGAGGTCGATTCAAAGAAAAACAAGCTAAAATCATGAAGATCGAAGCTCGAAGACACTACAAGAAAACAGGCGATTACCGACTACGGTCGGCGACTAATTGTGTAGTCGCTAATTTATACGACTAAAATACGACTACTCTGCGACTAATGTTACGACTACAATTATATAGTCGTATAATAGTCGCTAATTAACGACTACATACTGTAGTCATTAAAAGAGTCGTAATACAGCGACTATTATACGACTAACATATAAGACCCCGACTATAGTCGTATCGTAGTCGCTAAATAGGCGACTATTTTGAATGACTATTGATTGTAGTCGCTAAATAGGCGACTACTTTATGACTACATTGCATACGGAAAAAAGTAGTCACAAAAAAGTCGCTAATTTGGTGACTAAAAAGTGACTACAAAACATAGTCACCTTATGGTGGTTTTGTAGTCACTATTTAGTCTCCATAACTATTTATATAATCAAACTTCACCATTTTTTTCTAAAACCTAAATACAAAACTTTAAATCTCAAAATTCAAAAAAATTATCTAGTTACAATAATATATCCATAAACTGAAAACTAACACTTATAAAAAATTATAGTTTTCCAAATCTTATTTTTAATCAAAACTTAACCCCAAATCTTAAACTTAAACCCCAAATCCTATACTTCAAACCCTAAACTTAACTACTAAATTCCTTTAACGACTATTTAGCTACAAAATTCCGACTAATAAAAATAACTAGGCTAATGGATCCAGCGAAACCAAGCCCAACTAAAACGAAGTCGGCCCAGGCCCAACTAAACTCACCTCCACCCCGAGAATTCCTAAGTCATCTTCCTCTTCCGCAAACCCTAAGTCATCTTCCTCATTCTTCTTCTCGATTCTTACTCTTTCTCTCAAACAAATTAAACCCTAATTCCTCGAGTCTTCCTCTTCCGCTTCCTCAAATCGAACCCTAATCTCCATTTCTTCCCCAAAACTTCCTCAAATCAAACCCTAATTCCTCGATTCGCGAAGCAATTCGTCTGACCCTTCGTCTCTTCACTCTGTTTCCTGCAAATCCGGAACAAGATGACTGGTAAGCGAGGCCGGAAGAGAAGAAATGCTCCCAACGCGTCTCAGAGAGCCGTTGGTTCCACCGCTGCAAACCGTAGACCTAAAAATCTGCGCCTCGTCAGCGACGGCGTCCACAGCAAACGCCTCAACACCGACAGCCTCTTTCTCCGCAGCAGGATCCTCCTCTGTCTCCACAGCAGGATCCTCCTCCGTCTCCACATCAGAACTCTGAGGCTCAGAGTCACGCGTTTGGCTGTTCCTCTCAAGGTAACAACTTCCAAAACGAATTGCCGGATCTCCAGGAGGATACGCTTGAGGCTCTGACTGCTCTGCTTATGGTGCCGGACCGTCATCTGTTTACAACCGTTCTCTCTCCAACACCGTTGCCAGACACGACGTGGTATGACTCTTGGTCCCTTCTATAGTGGTTTTTTCTGATTGCTTTGTGTGTTTTAGGATAGAAGAAGTCTGATTGTTTTCAAAATGTTTTGTGTGTTTGATTGTTTGCTTGTTCTTATTGATTTGTGTGGCTTAGGATAGAAGTCTGATTGTGTGTCTTAGGATAGATTGTTTTTAAAAAGTTTGATTGTTTTCAAAAAGTTTGATTGATTTCAAAAAGTCTGGTTGTTTTCAATAAGTCAAGACTGGTTTGAAAAAGAAGTCTGATTCTTTGTTTGATTGTTTTAAAAAGAAGTCTGATTGGTTGAATGTTAAAAAGGAGTCTGATTGTGTGATGTCGTATCAGTCTTCATGTTGTGTTTGAGATGTTATCACATATGTTGCAGGTTTGATTGGGACGAGAAATCAATACTGGTAAGGAGGATTACCAAAGTTTTTACAAACAATTATGTGTATAATTGCTTAAATGTAGTTTTGTTTAATCACTTAGGACTTGTTCAAGAGGCACATGGTCGTGTTTGCAGTTGGAACTTCTTTAGCATCTGTTGCTACTGCTTGGATTGGTAAGTTTTGATATTTGCTTACTTTATCTCGATTTCTCTTGTAGGCTAGGGATTGGACATCTTTTTCCATCTGACCAATAAATTTACATATGTTTCTCTGGATAATGTAGATATTCAAGTTCTTGATTGTGATGTCCGGAGATTAAGTTGCCTAAATGATGCTTGCTTAAGAACTGTTTTGGCGTATCTCGTCAAGTTCTTTGCTGTTTTAATTTCAGCTCATATTGATATAGCCTTTGATGCTTTGGTCTTATGTGTGTTTGTATTGTAGAGTTGGATAATAGATCTTGTTGGCGTGTCATCATTTTCTTCCGGTAGAAATAACCATGAGGCAGTTTTTGGAGCAGAAAAAGCATGAAAGAGTAAGACAAGGAAGAAGAATTGAAATCAAAAGAGTTAATTAAGCCAAGTTCTTTCTTAAAAATTGTTATCTGCTTTGTGTTAATTATGTTTTTAGGAGGATGATGTAATTTTATTTTTAATAATGTTTTTAGTTTTATTTGTAATATGGTTTTCTTTTAAATGTATAATTTTTATTACTAATAGCAGTACCTTCCAAAAACATATTATAAAATAATTAGTAAAAATATTTTACTGAAATAAATACATAAATATTGTATAAATACATAAATACTGTATAAATAAATACAATACTGTATAAAGATATAAATACATAATTAAGACCAAAGTCACAATATAGTCGTCAATTAGTCACTAAATTTGGCGACTAATCTACGACTACATTTATGACTACGAATATTAGTCATAAAGTAGTCGCTAAATGGCGACTAATTTAACGACTATTAATTTTAGCGACTCTCGATTTACGACTACACGTTTTAGTCGTTATTTAGTCGTAACCCACCATTTAGCGACTATTTAGCGACTTTTAGTGTAGTCGCTAAAATCCAGTTTTCTTGTAGTGAGATGAAGCAAGGAATGAGAAATCGAGTTGCGGAAGGAGAGCGAATATGCTCTGATACCATATCAGATAAGAGAGAATTAGAAAGTTTGTTATTTCTCATTAAGTGTAAAAGTGTTTACATGTACAGTATATATAGTAAATAAAATTACATGTGAGTAAAAACTATTTACATGTATTACTATACTCTAATAGATGTATATATTATATATACAGGCGGCTTGGGCTCAGATAGATTGAATTTTTGAGCATGTAATAGATCCATTGGCATGTTTCGTAAATTATCCATTCGTTGACTTGTTGGCAGTGGCACGACGTCCGTGTGGGGGTAAGTAGTTGACTTGAGACTCAAAAGGATTCAGGTTCTTCTTGCTTTTGGTTCCAAATTCATCGATTAGCGGTTTCATCCGTGATAAGTTTGAAATGGTGTTCAAACTTCGATTGATTTATATCGTCCTTGTAATTGTATTGATGTACTATCTAATGTCTTATTGTAGATAACTCCAAAGACTATGTTTTTCAACCCGGAGAAAACAATCTTTAAAATTATATCGAAATGACCATGTAAAATTTGAACCAAGATGAATTATATTTTGATCCGTAAAACCGATTCAAATCGAAATGAAAAAAAAAAAAAAATCCAAAATTTGGATTAAATATTTGCACTTTGAAGAATGAAAATATCAATTACACAAGGAAAACTAATATGCTTTCCCCTTCTTGTCTTTATGAACAAGATATCCCAAATCTTTACATCTTTATTTTCAATTTTTTCGCCCCCAAAGTTTTTCATTCATTAACTTTCTTCCACCACGCTATGTTTCTTTGCATACCCAAATGGAATATCTTCATCCTCAATCCTTCTCCGCCTCTTCTTGTTTATATATGCCATAAAATTGATCTATTCTCTGAATAGGTCAAGATACGATAATGGTGAAACTAACGATAGTTGGTAGGGTTGAAGATGGATTGCCTCTTGCCCAAGATCAAACCTATGTAAACCAACAAGACAACGCTAGTTTCTTGTTATACAAGAAACAAGCCGAATTCCTTCTTAAGCAAATCTCCAAAGACTCATTGTTGCATCCAAAGATGACCATCTTGCTCGATCATCATTCTTTCCAGTATCCTTTCATAGTAATTTTCTCCAAGTTTTTTTTCCTATAATTTTCAATTTACTCGTTATTAATCTTTCATGTTTTGAAGCTTTTTGGTGGAGAAGAAGATATGTTGCATCGCGCTATCTGATTCTTCGTACCCAAGAAAGCTATTGTTTCATTACCTGCAGGATCTGCGCAAGGAACTTGATCAGCCCGATGAGACAGCACTGATTCAGAAAATCTCAAAACCTTATAGCTTCGTTAGGTTTGGTAAGATCATAGGGAGAATAAGGAAACAATATATGGACACGAGAACACAAGCTAATCTATCGAAGCTGAATTCTTCACGGAAACAAGAACTAAATGTAGTCACTGAGCATTTTAATGATATAATACAAAGACGACAAATTTTAGGTAATTGTTCTTGAAATTATAGAGAACTTTTTTTACCCTCTTTTTTTGAATATAAAAAAGACTTAAATTTATAACATTTTCGTATTGCAAGAAACATCAGAAAAAGCGTCCTCAGATCCACGAATGTCTGTTTCAACCATTTGGAGATCACGATGTCTTCAGGTATATATGAAAAAATTTCAAACATGGTTAAGAAAATAGGACTAAAGTTTCACTTTCACTTCAATGTATTGAGAATTTGTGGCTTTGGTTATGGTTAATTAAATTTTACTTTATTCTATCACAAATCTTGCAGGATATTGCTTTAAAATGGACACCAGTGACGACCATTATTCTCGTTATTCTTGTTCTTTTCAAAGCAAGCTTGATTATGACGGACGATTATTTAATTTCAACCATGATATGATCAAGTAATAATTTTAATCAAAAGAAGAAGAGTGTATGTATGAAACATCCTAGTAGTTATAAAATTATTGTTACTCGTTAAAGTAATTTGACCTTGAAATGTTGTTTAAGTAAGTCTACGACAATAGTAAACTCTAATGAGGAACAAGAAGACAGACAAAGAAAGAGACGTGAACCAATTATAAACAGCACACTGACCATACAAATAATTGGTTTTATTAAAAAAAAATACAAATTGTTATTCTATATATACAAATTGTCGTGAAAAATAAATAACCAATTTCAAATAGAGTTCCAAGATTTCCACATGATAAATTTTTTATTTGTTCATGTTTGATCTAAGAATCTAGATGTTTCTGTAACTTGTAATACAAGTAACTTGTTTATGTTCCTCTTACGATCATATTCACTTTTCTCGACTGACGATTCCTTTAGACATAATTTTGGTCATTGTTGATGAAGAAATCCCCAGAAGAATAATAATTTGCATACTCATGATCAGGCTGCAAAAACTCTGTACGGAGCATGACATCCTCAAGTGAAGAGTAGTTGTTGTTGTTATTGATCATCATCACTTCTTCTTCATCGATTTGATCTTGAGTTTCATTAATGTGCTTAGAATCTGTAAAAGCAGAGGAGTAATCGATGTGTGGATTTGAAGAACTGATCCACTCGGAGAAGAACAGTTTAGGTAAGTTATTACTGTTGTTCATGATCATGTTGTTATTGCTGTCTTTGGATGGTGATGAAGTTGGCTTCTCTGCAAATTTCTGGAAGGAGATCACGTGATCTAGGGTTTCGGTTTCCGGATTTCTTTTCCCGCAAGAAAGTAGTGAAGAAGGAGAAGAGTCTGTGAGGTCTGATCTTTGGGTTTTGAGCTGTGGTTGAGATTTGAGCCATCTCTTCTTCAGATAAGAGTGCCAGTAGTTCTTAATCTCGTTGTCTGTTCTTCCAGGTAGGTATTTTGCAATCCGCGACCACCTGATTAGACCCAAATCATAAAACTAAATGAAAATCTACTTAATGGAAGTTTTTTCAGTAGGAAAGAAACATTGTAATATCATAACCCTGGTTCAGACTCGGGAGTGCGTGCATGTGTGAATTGTAGACGAAAAAAAGGGTTTTTCATTAGGGTTTCTCTTACTTGTTACCCAAGGAAGCATGTAAAGTCAAGATGGTCTCTTCTTCTTCTTCACTAAACGTCCCTCTCTTTAATCCTGGCCTTAGGTAATTAATCCACCTTAATCTGCAGCTTTTCCCATTCCTTTGCAATCCTGGCACAATAATTCACTTACACAAGGATGAGATTAACAATCATGATGAGAATTCAGAGTCTAATATAGGATTTTAGAGATAAAAGAAAAAACCAGCTAGGATGGGAACAGTGGTCCAGCAAGCATGGCCACGAGAGAGGATGAAACTCTTGAGCTTCTGGTCTTCTTCAGGTGACCATAACCCTTTCCTCTGTCTCTGTTTTGGTCTCTCTCCAGATTTGGTCATCTTCCACGTTTCTTTCTTTCTTTCTTTCTCAAGTCGTCTTAATTAAGAGAAAACTTGTGTAAATGATGAATGAGAGAGAGAGAGAGACAAAGACAGACAGAGAGAAGTATATATGAGCATAGACAATTACGCATAAATAGGGTTTCACTATATTTTTTGAAATTTCATGTTTTTAGTTAAACATTTGAAATTTAAATGTTACATGGTATTTTGAAAAAATCTCACGAAACTGTCTCGCATATCGTTGATCTCGCAACAAATAAAAGATAGTTTTGGTATTTCACTTCATCTGACAACGTGGGACCATGACTATTTTGCAACAAAAAACTTTATCTCTGTTAATTGTTTTATTTGGCTATTCAATAATATTATCCTATAATTTTGTACGTATGCAGACTCAAATGAAATTTCATGTATACACGTGTATATTTGTGTATTTTGTATTTTGCGAATATGTGTAATTAAGTATTAGAAGGTAGTTATGATAAAAGTCTGGTGGAATATGTAAGCAAAAATTAGTTGTAAAACCAAGTCACTTGTTTTAAAATAAAGTATTAATTAAGACAAAGAAAAAGAAGAAGGAATCTTTGCTTGTCTTTGCTTTCAGATATCTTTTGTTCTCTTCTTCTTAACTCTATGAAGAAAGTCTATAACACGTAATAAAATATATGACGAAACTGAAATCACAAGGAAACCTTTGTTACGATGATAAGATGTTAGTATTGAAATCAAAGTATTATCTATGATTTAACCAAGTGGATATCACTTGTCTCCATCTCTTTATACAAAAGTAAACTCAAAAACACTACCAATGTCAAACAGATTTATGTCAAAAATTGACTTAGGTAGTTTGGTTCCGGATATATATTAAAAGTAAAAAGATCAAGATGTTGGGTATGTAAAAGTGTAAATGATGTAATTTGACCAAATCATATAGACGAGTAAATTGGTCTAGAAGGCAAAACTTAACGTTGACAAAACAATATTTGTCTGTTCCGAATCAATGATTGTGAAAGAAAATGAAACAATTGAATTGAAGATTGCGAAGAATCATCCAATCTTTGAAAACCTATCGGACAAATTGGATTTTCCGTTAACCAAACTTGGCAATGTATATATTTAAAAACCATATGCAAAATTTCTTTAAATATAATCAATATAAAAGTTTGTTTGTTAGGATATTTATGTAATTAATATTGTTAGGTGAGTCAACACTTCCCTCCTATTTGCTGCACATTTTTACGTTTAAAATTTAGTTTTGGATTTTATTGATAATAGAAGTATACAATACATTTCAAATTTACAAATAGGGTATTCATTAGAGAGAGGGAATATTTAGCATTTCCATACATGTCAGCGACCAAATGGGTTTTGCTGGCTTTTCCATATTGAAATGTTTCCAATATATGTCCTGACTCTTACGTTTTTTTTTTTTAATAATTCATCTCTGAACCACGTTTGTTTCATATATTTCTTTTTATATTTGCCTTAAGAAAAAGACTTGGTACGTAACATTTTGACAAAATATGTAAAATGATCTAAAGATAGGCTATGCTCTGATATGGGCTACTATAGTCATGGGCTCATGGCATGTGACAAAGTTTTGTTCGGCCACTTTATCCTTCGACTTTGGGCCTGGTTTTATTTTAGCTTAAAATTACATAATTTAAAACAAAAATATCTTAACCTGCATGACATGACATGATTAAACTACACAACATGACATGACATGATTTAATGGTCAATTGATTACAAATCATATCTTTAAGACTCAAAATGAATCTTAAATTAGCTCATTTGATCCAATCTTTTTCAATACAAGTTTTTTTTTTTTGTCGTCTAGATTTATTATTAATTGCAAATTATGAGAATTGTTACATAGACGATTCTACAACTGACAATTCCTTCCGACCCTTATTAGATCTATGACAGACTACACTTCTTTCTTCATAATCTTGATGAATACCTTCAATGATTAACGACCTGGCGACAGGTCGTTCTCTGCGTAAAATCCTGGCGAACGGCTATAATTGTACATCGCTAGAGATCTCCTGCACACTTGCCTCTATTAATCTGCAAATTTGTTAATAAATCGCAATATCTAGGACTCGAACCTCAAACCTCTTGGTGTAGAAGCATTAATCAACCATTGGTCAACCAATGGGCCAAGGGGCTTCCACTTTTCAATACAAGTTACTTTATTATTATTATTTTTCTTTATTGACAAGAAAAGAAGAAAAAAAATTATAATAAATTTAGTCGCCAAAAGCTCTAGTTTTTCAATAGCTAGTAAAAAAAAAAAAAGGAAAAAGAGGTGTGTGTACACCAAAACAAAAAGTAGAAGTAGAAGCTCTCACTCAAATGGACACTTGACTTCTCCTTGTCATTTTCCAAGTCAATTTAGGCACTCTCTTTGATACTTCTTTTTTCTTTTTCCAACGCAAATTGAAATTCTACTATGTTCCATCTCTTTGTACATATATATGCTTTTGTTTATAATATCAGATAAAATATTAAGTCTCTCATATCATCTTTTATAGTAATCATTTCATATATTTTGATACCCCAACAATGACACTGAAGTTTTTGGACCCAACAATAACACTGAAGTTTTTTTGTATTTAGTTAGCTTCAAAAGTTGAAATGATACATACCGCTTTTTCAAAGCTCAACGTTTCTAAATATTCATACACTAGTAATTTTATGTAATCATATGGGCCGTTTACATTGAGTTGAAGACACATCTTAATGTGTAATAACTACTATTATTCAACTCTCTAAATACAACTCGCCCCATATCTGGAGAACACTACGTAGATATAGTTCACATGTATCTCCTTCTTCCTATGCGAGAAATAGAAGAAGAACTTCATCTAAAATTACCAAAAAATTCAATCAATCTAATTAATTTAATCCACCCAAAAAACTAATTTATAGAAAAAGAACTAAAATGTCACTTATTATACATAATCTAGCATGATATGTTCATGCATTCCTTATATATTATGTCAAACACAATAAGATAAGATATTATTATGAAAGGATCAACGTATTCTCTCACCTTCACAATTGGTGTTATAAACTCACATAGGAAGGATGGATCCCTTTCGAGTAACTCTGGCCCATTCCATGAAATAAATTAATTATTAGACCTTTAATATAAAAGCCATCGTGATTATAAAACAATTTTTTTTTGTCAAGGTAACATAAGACACGCAATATGTAATATGATGAACTTGAGGGTGAAAGATAGGGAGTACTATGTAGATACATGACCGATCATGATTATGCCATAGCCATATCTTAGATTTCCGTACTCTTTTTCATTCCCTAATCCAAGAATTGTCTTTAACGGTTGGATTTGCTTGTTTTTATTTATCTTCTCTTCCTTGGCACCTTTCACATTCATTATCTTTCCTTAGAGGGGAAACACGCCGTAGAGATCATGAGACTTGACACTCAGGACAGACAGCCCCGTCATCTGAGCATAATGAGTGTTAGTAATTAAATAGCTAGCCTGATTCAAAATAAATATTGAACACTTACAATAAGAGTCTTTGCGGAATCCCCCTTTGTTATAATCGATCAATGTGCAGAATCTGGATTCTTTCCCTCCGGCTTTGTTAGCATCATCTAAATTTTTCGATGTGAACCATGCCAAGATTTGCTAGTTCACAATCTTTGCCATGCTTGGAAGTTTCCCATGAAAGCTACTTCACTAGGCCATGATTCTCATCTAGAAGAAACATAAAACACAAAGGAAGTAAACGTTACATCACTAACCCAACAAGGCATATTAAACATGTGAATACTTCACTGACGCAACAAGACAGATTAAACATGTGTATACCTTTCTTCAAAATATCTTTTGAAAGTTTGCATTCTGACCCAAAACTGCTCTCTGGAAGAATCAATGTTTCTTTCAGCCAGTCAAATACTAGATGATCAATAACACAATTGACAAACACCCACATGTGTTTCTTAACACTATCTGTCTCCACTTTAGCGTTTTTCGTCTTTTTTGTTCTTCACGGAATTAGTAATGTAGTCTATGATCTAAGTGGTCATATAATCGACATGTGTACCACCTTTGGTTGTGGCTATGGAGTTGACAAAACTAATCTGAAAACACATATATGAGATGAATCATGAGAAAATAGAGATATGAGATGACTCATTGTTCTCATGAAGAAGGTAATATCCAGTCAAATGTAACATCCTATACCTGCTGAAACTTGTCCTTACTTAAGATCACAAATATCTCCCATTGTCTTTTACTTTCAAAGTCATCCTAATCACAACAAACTCATGAATATCATAACCATAAATGTAATGATGAGCAATATAGAAAAAAAGATGACAGAACACACCTTGGTAGAGGATCCTTCCTTGATCTATTGGCTCCAAGGTATAAATCCACATAATCATTGAATGAGTTTACTTCAAGTAGTATGTTAGTAAGTGTCACTTTCACACTGTCTCCCAAACATGCATCAATCTCTACTACTTGTTTTTCCATTAGAGCAACCGTATCTCAAAGGCCGGCCCAAACCTAAAGCATCAGGTAGCAATTTCTATATTTATTTTAAGAGATATCAAATTTGTAAAAATGTCTTGTAGTCTAATGGTATTTTAACAATTTTTTATTTTTATTTGTTGTAAATGAACATCAAATTTGTTGGGCTTTAGGCATCATGAATATTTGGGCCGGCCCGCGTATTTTTACCAATTTCATTTATTTGAAACTTCTCCAAATAAGATCCTTTACATATTAAAATTAATTAATCTTCTTAAGTTAAGCTAAGTTAGGGCATAGGATCTCCAATTAAGTTTTTTATTTCTCTTATTTGAAATTTTAATGAGATCCTTTCACTTGTTAAGTTTAAAACCCAAAAGTATAGTTAAAGAAATGCAAAATGAAAATTAATCTTGTAGTAAAAGTATATTATTATGTTTTTGTAAAAGACCTAAAATGTTTTTGTCTAAAACATGCTCCCAAAATTTTGATATCCCAAATAGTTAATCATAAACTATATTCAACCGACGAGAAATTTAAAAAACAACGCAAAACAAGATATTAAAATTTAGAATTAAGTAAATTAAGAGAAATTTGCAAAAATAACCAAAAACCATAATTAAAAAAAACTAACACTTAAAAGTCAACTTCATTCATGGTATCTACTACTTGAAATGTTCATGTAAAAATAATATTAAAAAATAGAAAAGTAAGAAAGAGAACCAGATCGAATTCGAGTGAGGGATGTTTCACTTGAGGCGGAGTATTCGGGATAGCGTTGTTTTGTGGATGGATCATGGAAAGAAAGTGATAAGTTTTCCGGTACAGGCTGGTTCTGTACATCGTCAAATGGAGAGCCGCCAACCATGGGACCTGCGAACCTC